AGGAAAGCCATGCACAACTATCATTATATCCCTCATACTCACTTTCTCTTATAGTCCTTATTTTGTTTAGAACAAAAATACCTGTTGTGTATTACCTGTTCTAATCAACTTACTTCTTGAAAATAATTAGCAATGCCTCTGATTACCTACACCACAGCCACTCCTCACAATTCTAGAGATTTTGATCACTTCATTGGACTAATCCAGTAGGCTGCAATGACAGTACCTTAACGTCCTCCAATAATGAGTACTATCGAAAACCAGGTGCCGTAAAGGAAAACACAGTTCAACCTGTAATCTCTAACTTTCAGTGTGATACTGTATGTATTGAAGATAGCAAAAGAGTAATTAAGCGCACATGACAGAGTATTAAGCAGCGTATAGGTATGTACCTGCGAATACACACACAAAGTGAACAAATCTTAACACTTACCAAACACATAAAAGTGACTTTCTCATTGGATCAGAGTTGTCTTACACTGAAAATAGTCTTTTACAAAGAAAAATGTAATACTCATATTACATTAGAAAAACAGTTATTCTTTCTCACAAAAACAGAAATCCTGCTTCTTTACAATCTCCTGGGGAGAGATTTCATGTAGTCAGAAAAAGAGTATTACCTAAAGTTTCACGTGTTTCATGCCTAAAATTACTTCTGGAAATAATCAGTAAACAGCAGTAGAGACATATTTGAAATGTTTGCCATTGGAAATACCTCTCATTTTGCACAATCATCACCCAAGGTACTCACATGCACATTTATTCGCAGAGTTGGGCCACACAGCCATTGTGGGTTTTTGCTTGTTCCGAAATGCCTCTTCAACTCTAGCTTCTGTTTTCCGTACAGTGGAACCATGAGGATTTATTGTTTCTGCTGTTACTGACAAGCCTGCATACAGAAGATAACCATACCTATTTAAATAAACCAAGCTGCATAAAACTGCTGAATTTAAAAAGAAACTTGGAATTCCACGCTGCAATAAGAACATATCAATTAACATTTAGCTGGACATTCAAAACAAATATTAGAATCAGGAATATCTGCTTTCTACGGACAAAATAACTTAGTGGTTGCATGGTCTTAAAACTGTCAGCTGGGACGGATTACAAAAATACGACTGTCTCTCAGACTTGGGTCCCTAAAGACTGCACTCTTTTATCCGTATTTCCTCTACAAAGCAAAATCTTATTGATGGTTTCAACTTTTCCTGATTTTCAATAGATGGTTTAAAATAAGTGGCGATTCATAATGGCATTGTGCTCCATGTCAAAAAGAGAACCCGAATAAAAACCTTGTATTGTCACCATTGTCTATGTTATGTAAAATGGATCCATTTCAGAGTCATTATGAGCTCTTAGATTAAGCAAATGCGACTCTGCTTTCAACAAAAACTCTGGTTTGCTTTCTGTAATATAAGTTCATCTCATAGCTTCTATTATTTCATAGGTTTTTTTAATTAAATCCTAAAAATGCAAACTTTCATATTGGTTAAGCACATTTTAAAGACACAGACGAATCTCTGAAGTTTCCTATTTGTGAACTTGAATCTCCTATCCATCCACTAAAACAGTTTTCAAAATGTCATACCACGTCTCAAATAATAACCAGAACCAAGCGATCAAGAGTTGACACGAAGGTCTAAAACTGATGGATGCAAAAGTTAAAAGACTCAAAAAGGAACTCTCACCTAACAGTTACAGCGTAAGTTTCTAAGTATCACTACAAATATTTTAAACTGTATATCAAACATATGTCATTATTCAAACCATTTACCACTTCTACCTTATCATCTGCTAGTTTCAACATGAAGTTGCAATTTCCAATAAACCAGTATATGTCGTTCTTCATTTACCAACTTAGAACTTGCTATCCTTGGATTTACCATCTTTCAACAACAGCACCTCATTTCAGTAATACAAGAACAAGAAATTCTAGTTTAACTTCTAGATACTAATTTTATTACACAGTTTAGGATTCTGTTACACTGCAGTACTTCTTTTGAGACTGGTCACAAGTCTCAGTACTAAGTAAAAATTGCAGATTTGTCAAAAAAACAGGAAAGTTGTGGAAAAAGAAAGTGACGTAGAAAATACCTTCCGTTTTAAAACTATGTAAGATTGCTAAATAACTTGTCAAGAGAATTGTGAAGAAAACAGATATGGAGCTTTTTAGCCTTAACCCTCATCTTCAGTATCCTGGAAATAAATTAAGATCTAATACATGGCACAATTCAGAAAATCAATGGCTTTTCAACTGCGTAAAGATTAAACAGCCTACAGTATGTGTCACTTGCCTTCCAAACTCCTCTGTGATTCCAGACTGAAACACTTGATAATGTTTCCAGAGAATCTACGAGGAGCCTCATGCAGATCAGCTTGCTCAAATCCATCCAAATCTCATGTTGAATGTTGAAGTCTTCCAAATGTAGCCAAGAAAATGTTGACCAAACTAACAGAGTAGGGGGTATGTTCCTTTTGTCACAAGACAAATTTCTTTTCTGATGGCCACAGCCATCCACTCTGACTCAATCTGCCCCTGCAATGTTACCTTGACCTCTTCTGAGCAGCTATTAATATAAGTTTTATATTCAGTCCAAGAACCACTACTAGATTCACATGATAAGCCTGGACTTTATTTTTGTAGTTCCATTGTTTGCATTATTGCCCTTCTTTCACAAGAGTGCTGTTGACAAGCTAAGAATTTTAGCTCTGGTAAGGCTTGAAGATAGGATCCTTTATCAAGCTGAGTCCAAACATATATGCAGAGAAATGTGGACACAGAATGGCTCTCCCCCCCCGCCCCCGCCATCCAACTGTATACATGCCCATCTGGCACTTTTAAATGAACATGAATAGAGAAGCTTAAGGTACTCTGAGCTGGAAAAAAGTCTGCTGTGCATCATACAGTGAAGCACACTCACTGTGACTTCAGTCTCAACATTCCTTTAAGGCCTTACTTGAACATCTCTTGTTGATACCAAAAAGAAGTACTTATGGCTCAATTCCCCACCACTTTGTCTCGTACACTGGTCAGGCAACAAAGCTGGCTGCCCAATTCAGCACAATTTTATCAGGTAGCTCCAGTCAGGCAAACAGTCTGGTACGAGCAACCACCCTTGCATTTAGGTGACCAGTTGCACAAAGCTTTTGGACAGCAAAAGGCATAGTTTACACTGCTTACACAGTTTTCCTCAAGTATTTCTTCATTGAAACATTCCATTATTTCAAAATATGCTTTTAATATGAAGCAGAGCGAAGAAGGAGGATCTGGGGATCACTTCAACACCTGACCATCTGGTAATCAATCCAAAGAAGAAACCAGAAATCCCTTAATAATGTGGACGTCCAATCAAAAGAAGAAAATGCAAGTATATGCCTTTATCATCCCTCGTCCAAGATGTTCCGAAACAGGGTACATGTCAAAGTCTACACCAGCAGATGCACTGCAATTTTGCTTATCTGCTGTCTTGCTGAGCATATTCTGTAGACCAAAGTGGGAGTAATGGCAAGGTTGACCAGCATTCACATTCCTTCCATCCACTACAATGACAAGACTACGTGACTGAAGTGCCATCTTGGTTCTCCACACCACAATCTTCGACACAACTCCTGACCCAGAGATAGGACAATCTCTTGTGCTTGCCTTACAGCATGAGGTTTCCTCAGATCTCAAGAGCTTGATATATTTTGCTTCATTCATAACCAGTTAAATCTAACACAGCTCCTTCTATGCATTCTAAATCTTCGGTCCTTGCTAATCCAGTAAGCAATCTTAGCCTTCCACACTCTGCAGCTGCATCAACTGCAGAGCTCATTTGTTCTTGAAACCACCACCACATGGTCCAGAAGCACGAGCATCTTTGAAATGTGACTTGCAGGTATCTGTGACACTGTAACAGTTTCCATGCCAATGTGTAGAATGCACTTTGAAACCTGTCCATTCCTGTATAGGAGCTGTCGTCACTCACAAACAACAACTGGTACTGCTAGTCACCTACCTATATCTGAAGGTCCACTAACAAGCATCTGACACCAATAACACCTTCTTATTTAGCAAGTTGCATCAGCCTTAATTAAGACTTCTGTAAACCCACCTCTTTCAACAGGGTCTGTAGGTTTTACACCCAGAAATATATATTACTCATTCACTGTCACAAAAAGAAGGGCAGCGTTCCAGTTAGCTCTTGTGAGACTCGCAAGGAGGGACTACAAGCTATATGGTCACCCTCTGTAACAAAGAGCTCTTACAAACACTTACTTGAACCTCAGAAGCAATAACCTTTAACAATCATGGGGGACTCATAATGGATAATTAACCGAGCATAGTTCACAGCGTGACACTAAGGCCAGAATTGTGAATATTCTTATATTTCTAATAGAAAGTACAGAGGAGAAATGAAGGCATTATATTAGTTCTATTTTACAACCACAGTGAATTACAATTGGTTCACTTATCCACAATTCAAGACACACATTGGAAGCTTTTACAGAATTAGACAAAAAAATGCATGACTGAATGGGAAAATAAAAGGAACTGTATCCGTTTTAACCTGAAGAAGAGAAAGCCTACAGATACTTGCACAGTTCAAAGAAATTTATTAATAAAGGGTCTTTAGTCTACTGACAGAAGTATTTCAAGAACCAGCAGCTATAAGTTAAGAAGAGCCAAATTCAACCTAGAAATCAAATAATGCAGTTTTTTACCAAAGCAAGAGGCAAAGCAGGAAACGACTTGCCAAGGTAAAGCTGGAATTATTGAAATCAGTAATCCCTAAATCAGCATGAAATTTTGTTCTAATGTTATAATTCAGTGATTTTCAGCCTTTTTCAACTTTCAGAACTTTAAAAATTTTCCATGGAGGTACAGAATCTTTCATGAAAACAGAACCCTGTTCCCATCCTGGGAATATATTTGGGTTTTTGAGTACCTTTTCTGGTTACTTTAGAAGTTGTTCACAGACCTGGAAGTCTATGGACTACAAATTGAAAATAACTGCACTAATTTAAACAAAAACTAGAGTCAGTGACGGGAGGTCTATGGACTACAAGTTGAAAACAACTGCATTAATTTAAACAAAAACTAAGTCAGACTTGTCCTCCAATGTAGGGGGCTATATTTCCTGATTCTGGACTATTAAATTGTCAACCTCATGCTCCTCTGAATGTAGATGCAACGGTTGTTTCTTAATCCAAAAAAATCAATAGATTATCACCAAAAGTATACTTATGCACATGCCATGGTGAACTGAAAATCTACTGGTTTAAATGCTGTTCTCCCTTATCATAACTGTTATTACACTGCATTACATGGCATTTTTAGAATACAGCTCTGGTTTCACATCTTCAGTTAATACAGCAATCCCAACATGTATCCATTCACCATGTTCTACAATACTGTTTGTACCAGCAGACAATGCATCCTTGTTTTGTAAAGAAGGATAGTGCCTTATCAGACCAGTTCACGTAGCTGGAAAAAGTAGACAAGTTTCAAGCTCAGCCATTCTTTAACATGCACCGCCTGAGTCTGACATGCATTCTATATTTCATCTTAAATTTCAATTTTTATATTGACATTTGTAAATTCTGTTTTCTATCCCATATATGTTGTGTTAAGATAAATGAAGTTAAATATACCTCTTTTTCTTCTTGCTTCTTTGATTTCTTCACACATCTTATTAAATTCTGGATCCAGTTCAGCAGCAATGATAGCATGAGCTGTGTCCTTCAAAGTACATGCTCTGTGTCTAATTATTTTATCTAGAAAACAGGACAGCACACTTGTTAATTTTATCAGAATTATGTAAATTCTTTACCATTTCTATGTTGTTTTGTATTGTATATTACAACACTGATACGGACAGAAGTAACTGGGAAATATTACAAATGTATGAAAATGTAGATGGATCAATACCATCGCATGCTCAAAAACCACAACCCAGTTGTTTAAGAGATATAGGAGTTTTCAGAAGTACAAATGTTACTTTAATCAACAGTCGCATTTATAAGCAAATGCAAACAGTGAGCGACGAACACACCTAAATCAACTTGCAATCTTTAGAAACTTGCTAGAATCAGCAGATGTAGCCAGTTTCCACAGACAGATCTACACAGTATAATGGAGTACAGTGCATGAGTCCCAAAAGTAACAAGAGACTTGTCCAGGAATGAATTTACCCACTGGGGTCTAGGAACATTCATATAATTATACTGCCTGCAAAATCATACTAGATATCTCCTGCATTTCTAAGGTAGACCTGGCTCGCTTACATTTCTCCCTCATTTGTTTTTTAACCTTAAATTATTGCTTAATTGTTAATTAAGGACTACTAGAAAATTCAAAATTGTGCTAAAACAGATTACATTATTACTTATATTGAATAGACATTTCTCATTTTAATCCACTGAGAAAAACTGGTAAGAAATAAGCCTCGAGTCTGCTGCATTTTCATCTCTATTTGGGGAACAGGACAAAAAAAACATTGCCCCCACTGGAAGCCCAGATGCAACTCATGAAAAAATATTTTTTCAGAGAAGATCGGTTCCCATACCTTTGAAACACACAGAAGAAATTATTCCAACACTGTTTAAACTTGAAAAGTAATTGTAACTTAAGAAGCAATCCCATATGTGGAGAAAACTGACATCTAGAATGTTCCTTTTCAATGAAACCTACAGCACTCATTGTTTACTCTTTAGTACAAACATATTTAATTTGTCAATTCATCCATACTGAATTACTTTTTCCAATTGATGGAGGTACTTCAACAGCAAACATCAACGTTAATGTCTACAGCATATTATACAATTAGCAAATTTAATCTGTTTTAATAATCACTAAAGACAACAATTAAGAATATCAGTGAACATTTATTAAACAAGGTTTATAATTCTAGAAATAGCAAATTTTACAGCTGTAAAAACTGCTGAGTGAAAAAGAATATCCAGTATCCAGCTCAAGCGAGCCCTACATATGTTTTCTACCATCACTTAAATCAACTGGAAACTAGAAATTTTTAGTCACATATATTTGTGAAGCATTATGTTTTATGATTACAAAAAATATGCAGCATTCTTTGCAGATGTAATTTTGCAATATTAGACTTTAAAAAGTTGGTCAGATAATAAAGTTTAAGATACCCTTGCAAAAGAAAGAGAAAAAAAGAAAAATCAAATCAAGAGTATTTGATTGAACCACTATTTTCCTGTAATCCTGTGATGAGTAAGACTTTCCCCACAGACAGTGCTTCAAAGAGGCAAATACTATTATGTCTAACACACAATGGTTATGTTTCCATGCCTTTAAGAACATTTCCAAACAATGGAGGGAAAGAAAAGAAAAACCAAACTACCTTACTATATTACATATCCGAAATTTTATAGCAAAGTACTACAAAAAAACCCCAAAGCAGCCAGTTTTTAATATCTGTACTGTGTATAAAACAAGCTAGTCTTGTACTCCAATTGCTTTTCCAACTTAATAACAAGACAGAAGCAGGTACAGTATGATTCTTCTGCAAATTCAAGCACGAAGCAGGCAAGCATATATGCCCAGCTTTAAAGAATGTGAACATTTATAGGTTAATACTCAGTTAATGCATCTGAACGCATGCAATGTTTACTGAGAATAGACATGATGTGCTGTTTCAGCAGTGTATTCATACAACAACTCAAGAAATCTTGCATGCCAGAAGAGCAATACATCATCAATTGTTGACAACACAGAGGACAGAACTCTCTTTCATTACCTACTCAATGATGAGAAACTCTGATCCAAAACTTAACCTAGAAATGGCCAGATCATTTCCTCCCAGTTCAGTTCTGACAGCAAGGAAAATCAAAATATCCCTGTTTTGGTTCCCTAAATATATTTCTTAAGATTCTTTCTCTTTGGACAAGCTCAATAAAAACTTCTGTCACTGAATGTTTCCCAAGTTGTCTTTGCTACTTTATGTTTCTGCCATGCCGAATCTGCGACTTGTGTTGTTTACAATCCTGAGTAGATCTAACCTTAAAGGTCTGTAGTTCCACAACACCTACCCTAAAACTTAAAAAAAAAACCTCTTCAGACTACATTTCCTAGAATTCAACAACTAAGCCCACAGATCCAAATAGCCTAAAAAATGAGAACAAAGGGTGTATATTACTGACAATTTTTCCCAAATCCCATCACTAAGTCACAAACGTACATCAGTCACATGCAGGAGGTTATGTCTCATAGGCCTCATCTTCTAGTCAGTGCTCTTCAGAGACACTCAGAATCCCAAGTTTCCATCAAGGGCTTTGATTAGTTCACATCAATTAGAAGTCCTCATAAGTGTGTTATCAAAAACACACAAAACCTTTTGATGCATATTATCAATTATTTTTTTTACTTGTAAAACAAAATGCATCATAAATTGAAGAAATAAAGTTTACCTTCTACAGATATGAACCAGCACTGGGTTCAAAAAGCAATGTTAAACAAGTGTAACTGTTTGATCAGACCATACTGTATCTAGTCCATATACAAGACATTTGCAAATGCCTCAGAAAATTAAAAATTTGAGAAGTAAGAAAAATCAAAAAAATCAAGCTTTAACCCAGTAAAATAATTTCCCAAGATTTAATGAAAAACTTTTTAACACATTGGACTACATTTGTAGATGGACCTAGATTTCCAAGTATCACATATATTAAATACAACTACATTAAAAGGGTGTTTTGTCATTTTTTTTGTTGTTTTATTGATGAGTCTTGAAGCTGCCAATTGAAAGGCTTTCTTTTGGCAATGTACACTATAAGGCAGCCCTAGCGAAGAGTACTCAAGATGTTCTTTCCTTAGTTTTGAGCATGAACAGCTTTTACATGCATTTCAATCCACAGATTCCATTTTAATTGAAAACATCCCATCACAGTTTGTTCAAGACAATACCTTCTAATCTCTCCTAATCAGCTGCAACTGACTTCCTTGCCTTATAATTTATCCTGTTTTATTCCTATCCCCAAATATACAGTTCTTAACTTCTGTGTGTGAATTTCATGTTCTAAGCCAATATGGAAATAAAGCAGGCCACTGCCAAATTGCATGCAGGATTCTCTACAGAGCCCTCCAAATTACGTTGGGGTTTTGTTGCATATACAAAGTCTATTCACTGAAAAGGAGCTATCGAATTTGAAAAGGAACTACAAAACCTAATTTATTAGAAAACAACTCTGAATGCTGTCGTTCTGCTCTTATTATGTGCCCCAGTGCACCACATGCCTCAGAATACTAAAAGCACAGACCCTTATCCTAATTATCACATAGCATGCGGTTTATTTAAATGCCTGAACAGTAACCAAACATGTGATTAAATATCAGACTTCCAGGCTGAGGTAGGCCAAAACGAAGTAGGTTCTTACCTCCAGGATCTTTGTCTGGATTGTACTCCAATGCATTGCTACAGATCAGGTCAATATCTGTTAGGAAATCCTTGGCTGTTAAGTAGTTATGTTTATCAATTTTGGTTATTACTGTTGATAGGTCCATTGGCTCTTTGATAACTTCAAGGTAATCTGAAACCTATAAACAAACAGCATACAGAAATGACACAGGACCATACGCATTCCATTTGAATGCTGCAAATTTCACATCTTTAGAGTCTTATTCATTCCACACATTCAGCTGTAATACATTAACTAAACATTTTGATTTCTCAACAAATTTATGTTGAAAACAGAAGTTTTATCAGACTAAAAACACAGGACTTTCAAAGTTATTTTTTCTTCAGTAGGCTCACTAATTTATCTTTCAAAATGAATCTATTTTTGAGACAACACATTTTAACATAGATGTAGTTTAAATTTTATTTAGACTGCTGGGGGGATGTGTTTTGGTTGGTTGGTTGGGGTTTTTTTATAATCCAAGACAGTCTTGGATATAAAGGCAAAAACTATTAGCCTAACTCAAAACCCTAGGAAAAACTTGGGAAGCTGTATTTTGTTAACGTTGCAGGTAAAGTTCTCATTAAACTGAACCATCATATTATCAGCTTTTAACTATCTTCTATTGAATAGTTCCTTCAATCACTCATTCAACATAAAAAGTCAGGCTTTATTGATTGACGATGTTAGACTGACTGTACAGGAGGGCAGTCTAAAGAGAAAGCCTTGTGTCATAGTTCACAGCTTACTACGAGCTTAGTTCATAACTGGAGATTTAGCAATCCACTAGGGTACACTGAAAAGTATTTAACATAATTAATGACACCACAAGGGTCTCAAGTTTGATAGTTAAGTGCATCGGCACAGCTGCTGTAACAAAGTTCACCAAAAAAATCCATGAATTTGTTATTTACTTCAAGGAAAAAAACCCTACACTTGAATGTTTCAATGTGATTAAGATTACAATCAATTAAAAATACTGGGAGCCTCAGAAATGGTATTGCATCTTTTCTTTTGAAATCACCCACATATGACAGCGGCTGCCAAAATACTGAAGAATTAAATATATATTCAGATCAAGCCATGATGGCGCCATAAGAATTTTTTTTAATACAGTATCTGCAGACATTCATACAAAAATATGTTTCAACATAAACTAACATTAATGCATTATTTCAGTGGACAGCAGTCTATCACCTAATTCCTTAAATATACACATCGAAATGTATGATGAAAAATTAAAATTGCAAAAATTCTCTTTTTGTCTCCCTCTATGGAAACATGATGATAATTGGTTCAGTGATTGGAAAAACAAGCAACAGGCTTCCTTTTCTTGTTAGCACATCATCAGAAAGAATCTTCACTGGAAACTGTAAACATTACTGCTGAATTAGCCAGGAAAATCCTTGACTTATCACATAGCATTCTCTGCAACACGAGTAGGAGTGGAAGAAACTTAACACATTTTTCTAAGAAAGTCAAACAGTCAGGCTGTTACAGAAAAGGAAAGGATTGTCCTGTGCTTAAATGCACCAGGTGGGACGAAAAGGATTACATTTAAAGTCTAGTGCTGTGATAGATCAGCAGAGTTTTTGACAAGTCTTTAATTAAAAAATTCACATTTCCATTCTCTCCATCTACAAAACAAGGACCGTAATATTTGTTCTTTCTTTACGTGCCCTTATTCACATAAGTTTAGACCTCAAGTTCTTTGGGGAAAGAAACTGCCTTTACTACGAGTATGACAAGTTTCCTACAATAATGGACCTCCCAAGCAGTTTTATAGTAAAAATCAAAGTTACTGCTCAGACCATCCTCACACTGTAAGTTACCACATTAAAGAGCTCTTGTCAGTCTTTCAAAAACAGTCAGCTACCAAACACTATAGAAAGCTCAAATTAAGAGAGGACTGCATGAGCCCATAAAAGATGCCTGTTCCATCCTCCATGGAATTTACCCTGCAAATCTGCTTTTCACAATGCTGTACTTTTAATGTCCCGTATTCATATCTTCACGTCTTCCAAAAGAAATGCTTCTCTTCAGAAGCAATTATGCATTTTTTTAAAAAATTAGCAAGTTTGCGAAGCTTGCAGTGGTCCAGCATCTGACCTCAAAGTTAGACCGAACACAATCCTATTCATATAGCAGCACCTGAAAATAGATTTGCAGATCAAACTGTCTCAGCAGTTAGGTCTGCACACTCCATGATCAACCAGTTAATGCCTTATAATGTGCCACCATCTGTGATTAACGGTATCCAAAAGCATTGCTGCTGAAATTACTCAAAGATACTATTAATGCTGAATACATTACAGATCACTTTCCCAGTATTATCATGCTTACGATTACAATGTTGTAAAAGCTTTTAATAAAGAATTATGTTTATGGTTTCAAATATTTCAGGGGCACTGACAGGGATAGAACTGGTGGCATTTTTAAATACTGATTTCAGTTTTAAAATTGACAGTAATGCACAAGGTTTTTCAATAGGTCACTGATATAGCCAAAGAATATCCTCCAACTCCTTGCATCACTGATGATGAGGTTGTGACTACCCAACTAGCTAAAAATCAGCACTTTAGATTGGAAAGATCATGGATCAAACATCTATTTTTCTTATTAACTTATCCATTTCTTTTTTTAATTTATATTCTTTTTCTAACAGTTTCGACTTCATTGTTTGCACATTACTGAAACAAGACCTCTTCAATATCCACCGGTTTGCTGAAGATGTTAAAGCGTTTGTCTGTGGCCAGCCTCTTGGTAACATCCCTGAGAAACAACCGCAGCTCTCTCAATGTGTTCTCTTCCTGGTCCTCCATTCGCTGTTTTTCTGCTTCTGAAAGCTCACGGGCAGGACATGGCAGTGCAAGAGGAAGAACTTCCAGAGCACGAAGAGCTAGGGAACAAAACAAGAAGTCAGATAACGGAAATGTTAACAACACAGTGGCTCTTGGGATTATGCCACTCCAAATTTCATTATATATTTAATCTGCTTCATCGATTTAACCATCACTGTATCCTTAACCCCACAACTCTCCATTTTCCAAAACTGGTACCTCTAATGCACAAAAATTTATTCTGGGTCGTGATTAACACTGTCAAATGTTAATTACACTAACTGTCATTTACCCACACCTTTTGAAAAAGGAAAGTATCACAAAATAAAACATTCAGATCACATTATTATTGGTTTTACTGTAACTTAGTTTACCAGCCTGTTTCCTTCTTGGTGGGGGCATTGCTGCCTCATCAAGAATTAACCCTTTGAAAAATCGCAATCTGTCTTCTTCACTTGGTCTTTGAATATAAAAAACCTCTTCATACTGGATTCTGAAAATACATTTCACCTAAAAAAAAAAAAGCCATATGAAAATTGAGCCCCCACTCAAAAGTACATGATTAATGACCATATTAAAACACTAGTCACAAACTTTTCAAAATTAGCCACAAGAGAGAAGATAGTAAACTCTACACAAAGCTGCGTATACAGCCTAGGGAAAACAAATACTTGTAATTCTCACTGAATTTTCTGTAGTAACTAAACTTGCAGTATCCCATGATCCTAACAATGGCCACCTCTGCAGTGAAAAAGGAGAAAGAGCAGGAGAAAAAAAAAAATAGGAACTCTCCTCCTCCCCCATCCTGAGCCTCAGAAGATGTAAAGCTAAAGGTTAGGTCTTTAGACCAAATCTGCATTTAATTCTACTGGAGTCATTTGTCAAAAATCAACAACTGATAAAATGAACAGTTTTGTCTTTTCAGCAAAGTAGCATGGAGATTATGAAAATCAGTGACATGGACATACATCCCCCATTAAAGAAAACTACAAATATTTAGTTAATACTACATTTTCAGTGTGACATATTTTAAATTAATTCAGAAAACCACTGCAAAACAGAATGGTTTCACATGATAAAAAAATTCTGAAGAGTACATGCCTCCTTCCACAATAAACTTACCTCTTCAGGCAATTCACTATACATGGACTCAGAGGTAGACAGTAGAAATATAGGGGAAAAAGATGGTATATCTTGCAGCAAAGTTAGAAAAGTAGCTCTCACAGTTTCACTGACAGCTTCCCACCAATCACCAATATGAGGCATGTAAACAATACTTGGTACTGTTCTTCGAGCTTCACGAAAGATCTAATTAAAAGAAACAGTGGCATTTAAACCAAGAAGCTAATTGTTATTATCACTTGTGAGTAATAAAATTCTTGTGGGCTAGGAAATGACTCATGTTTGTGGTATTTTATAATACAAATGTTCCAGTAAAATAAAATTATCTAATGATAAAGGCTTTCTAAACAAGTGTTTGTGACTGTTAGCTGTATCATTCAATTATTTTACGTCAATGTGCTAGGGAGACTACAAAACAACTGCTTGTCATATATGCTTTAAAAACTTGCTAAGACTAATCAAACAAGATGAAAATTAAACTGGTTTGCAATCTATGCAAAATCCACCACAAACTGTTTTGAAACATAAACCATTTAAAACTAAGTAAATGACCCTAGAACCACAGCAGACCAATTCATACACAAGCTAATAAAACAAAAATCAGGAATCCAATATCCACATTAAGCTTACTTGACATTAGGCATGTGACTGAGGGGGTAAGTTAAAAACGCAATTACTCTCACCAGTCAGCAGACAGATGTCAATCACCCTCTAGAGAGCCCTTTCTTTTAAACATTAAAATAGAAGGGGCCTATGAAAACCTGGCTTTTAAGTTATGCTCCAGTTAGCTGACTTTATATTGATGCAACTAATCTGTTCCAGAATTACATAATTTACTCATTAAAAGAGAATCTGAAGTGTCACCTGTGCACATGATTCTTCAGGCGTTTTGGCACTGACTGAATAAAGTGCTGGCAGATCTAGCCTGTGTACAGAGAATTTTTCCAGAGTGTGCAATAGTGCTGGAGCAAGGTGCGAAGTCTGACCCGAACCTCTCTCTCCAGATAGCAGTAATCTTGGTCTGTAAGAGGTTGGCTGGTGATAAGCTGACCTGCAACAGAGTAACAGTTACAAAATACAATTAAAATGCCAGTGTTATCAATGGATGGATACATAAAATACGATATTTTAGAATCCAAAAGACTTTCAGTAATGAGTAATTGTTTCCTACTATAACCTAAAAAGATTCACCTAACTCTACTGTACCTCAACACTACTCCAAGTCTCAATAACCTGAGCTTTGTCTATTCTTTGATTTCACAACAATTTAATTCAAACTCATCTGCGCAAAGCTATGCACTTATTAAATTCTTGAAAATTTTTATTATAACCAGTTTATTTAAAACCAGTTCCTTGATCATATAAAAAGACTTAACGGACTTCCAGTGAAGATATCTATTTAATCATGTCTAATTCAGTCCTAACTACTAAAAGCACCTCTTCAGTAGCTTCAGTAATCCCATGTTAATCTCTCCATTCCTTAAATGCTACACAAGAATTCCAAGAACCACCTAACATTTCAATATTTTGTTTATTTAAGAAACAGGACTTGAAATAGGATAGAATAAAATCACTATTCATTTTCTGTTCTAGCATATTTATACACTTCTGTTCAGGAGACTTCCAGACAGAAGAAAGATTTTAAAGGAAAAACTGCAAAGGTAACCTTATTTTTTGTTTTTGCTGTTGAGAAGAAATTCTAAGGAGTCCATATAAGGATTTTGGGGGTTTTGTGTGTGTTTGTTTTGCAGGTTTTTGCCCTGTTTTGGGGATGAGTGAGACATGAAGAGAGAAGTATTAGGTTTTTCCATTTATAGAAAATTGATTATGAAACAAGAAAGTTTTTTAATTAACTTGCATTTTTTCTCCTTAAGGCATTTTTATCCGCACATCAATCAGTTTGGGTAGTGAAACAAGACTGGCTGGTTTTATTTCAGGTTAAATATTTTGTAACAGTTATGAACATTGCTGACCTTTGGCTTTTCAGTTCTGGTCATGGAGGTTACACACACAGATAGCAATTGAAAATGGTCAGAAAGATAGATTAAGGGAGGTGTACATGTTTTACAAAAACAAACATACTCTTCAAGATTATTTTATTTAGACACTTATTCATGCAAATATATGAAATTGTTTTGGTTTTAGGTTCCCCGCTCCCGATCTCACAACAAAGGTGAAATCTGGCACTAAAATACTTGACTATGTACCTCAAACTATTTGAACTGAAATCCTTATTTTTAAGCTTAGATTTCAATAAATGCTGTTCTAGCATTACTCTTTTCCACAAAAATTTTAGCAGTTTTCCACAAGATGGCTCTACTAAACAGTACTATTACTGAACAGTTTTCCTAACCTCATTTTCTTTATTTAGCAAACTCCCTGCAGAACCCATCACAAAGTAGTCTAAAACTATTCTTAATACAAAACAATGTTAGTTGATTATTGTTAACTACTGTAGCCAGTCCAATTATACAGCAAAGACTCATTCCAATTTCACATACACTTTCTAAATTCCCATTTTCCCAAAACTTTCCATGAAAAACAATGAAAAAAAGATGTTAGAAATGCTGAATGCATTATATAATGCATCCAAACAGCTGCATACACTGAAGCTCAACAATACTTTAGACCAAGAAAAAATAAACAATCCCTCCAAAACATTCCTACATACCTCTCTTCCCAGTTCCTAATCTTTCAAATCAAAATGACTTGATACAATTAAGAATTGCTGTCAACATCTTTACTTCTAAGCTAAACTTGTCTGTTGCAAAATATCTGATCACTGTGTTTAGGATATGACCTCTCCTAAGACCATTCATATATCTAAAACTCTTGTCCATACACTTACATATTTCTATTAGAGAACACCATTGCCACCACAAAGCAAAAGATCATCTTTGTTACCTCTCCTGATGTAGGAATTTCATAGGTTTATTTATCTGGTTACATGCACTTAGAGAAACACTCACATTGTAAAATGAAGGTAGGGTTTATGTATAGCAGCTGATGACTGTTTCTTTGGTGATCCTGAGTGACAGCTCGTCTCAAAAATTGACGAAGCATTCTCATCTTCACTATCATCTAATATTAGACTTGGTACATCTGTTCCAAGAAATATATTAATTAGAACCTTATCACTTCTAAGTACATGCACAACAAACACAAAAAGACATTACCATTTTCTTCATGTAAATTAGAACACATTTTCAAATGTAGAAAAAAATGAGTTAAGAGCTGTCTAAATATCAGAACACAGAATAAGTACTTATTACTTCAAAAACCAAAACAAATTAAATATTGTAGAAGTCTAATCATAATTACAATTTATTTTTTTTAAACCATCAAGCAGAACAACTTCATGAATACAACAAATGTTTAACTGGTTATGAAATGCTTCCTTTGGTTTTATTCACAGCTAGAGGTTTTTCAAGGACAAAGTTATAAAATCTGTAATTCCTCAGACTATACACAATTTTGTACTTATTTATTTGTTCTAAGTGCCCAAATTTTTATAGGTATACCTCTTCCAAAATTATTCTCAGCACGACTACCTAGACAATGTATGTTTATGAAGAATTGTTTTCCACCCTCTGATAATCTGCCAAAGAATATCAAATTACTTTTTGTCAAAATCAGTTTGATTCATTCGATGTTCATATACTGTACCTTAACCTATTTTAATTCCTTTGCTAATATAGTAGCATAATGAACTAAAGTACTTTCTATATAGACCTTCAGAAACAAAAAGCTGAAAGACTGATTACGTTCAAAAGACAGACTGTAGGGACAAACAACTGCAAAAAATACAAATATGGCACTAAAAATAACCAGCTGACAGTTGATAATCAGGTACAGCTAAATTAGCTGCCAGGGCTGCAACAGGATTAAGCGCAGACTGCTGCGATTTGATAATGGGAAAAAACTGCTGCAAGATCTTTATTTGCCTCAGGAAGGAGTTTAGTTGATGTTACCCTATGCAAGACACTCATGCTCATTCCCATAGAGAAATCAGTCTGCGACGATGGGATGAAAATGGTCACAGCCACTCAGCTGTGCAGTAAGAGCAGCGCAGAGGCCAGGTCTCCTGAGGAACAAAATGCTCCACGATGGACGTGCAGCATTTCCAAGAGCAGCGCAGAGGCAATGAAGCACATTGCTGTTCAGGGCAATCACTGGACATCCTAACAGTAGCTCAAGTTGGTCACAGCCACTGAGAAAAATGGACTGCTCCGTGAAACAAAAGCATGAAATAGAGAGAGATCTAAGCGTTATTCTGAAATATACAACCCACTGCACAATTTGACTGATTTACATGAACCCATGGTACAGTTCCTGCTACACCACCGCGGGACAAAGGAATCAACTTCAAGGTAGCATTAAGCGTTGAATGGAGACACCATCTAAGGGCTACGCATCTAAACGTATGATCCCAGGTAAAATTGTTATAGATAACAAAGGTTTCCTTAGTTGGCTATGTGATAGAAGAAACTGGATTCAGAGTAGGCTGGGTAGGAACAATATTCTGCTGGTATGGGATGAGAATGTGTCACATCCCTCAGCAAAGCATGATGCAGTCACACACCTTACAATCATTCCTCTGGTGGCAAAGATAAAAAAGGCTTGCAATCCCCAACCAGTGGCCAAAAGCTAGTCCATAGAAAGAAAAAGGAGTTCCAAAGTTGCTGGACTTTTAGCTCCACGCAAGGATAGAGGCCTTCAAATCAACTGGACATACGCCTCCTAACTCTTGGCTCACTGCACTCCCTGAATTTTTGCTACACCAAACGTAGACGATAGAGTAAGTCCTATGCTTGTGCACCGGACATAGATTTTGCTTCCTAAAATCTGTAATCTCTAAAAAAGGCAGCTCATCTTTTAAACCCAAACATCAAACCTCTGTGATATCCTTTGCTTGAGTGTCTGACTCAGTGAATTATGAGAAACAGGAATCATGACTAAACTGCAAAGACATGTAGAAAACTAGATTTGCAGACTGTAAGCACACCAGTAAGCATCTGTTATATACTTCACTCTGAATTCAAGGAAAACTGAAGTCCTGTTGTGTAATCTACATTTACATTTAAAATCATGGTACGTGAAAGTGGATTTTGCTGTTTTTAACGCAGATTAAGCTTATTATTCAATATTTTCTTGGGTTTAAGGGGATAAGAAGAAAAACTATGGTACAGAGGAAATGTTAAAAGAAACCTTAGGTCATGTATCTTCAAAATCAGTTATCTACAAACATTCAATTCTGCTGCTATGGCAGTTTTATCTAGTAAAACTACTATTTAAATCAATGAATGCTTCCGAGCTCACTTTGTTAGCAATAATGAGCAGAAATAAATAGGAATGTAAAGAACATAACCAAAGAAAATATTCTGAACTAGAACTTTACAACAAAGGCAGGGACACCTAATTCAGCTCTTCAACAACAATGACAATTTTTACATTGGGCATTACCAACAGGTTTAACAGTATACAGAGACACTTAAGCATCTTAACTTTGGCTACAAGAGCCTAATACAACCTTACTGCAGCTGCAAGCCATCTCACTTCCCCCTACCCAGCACCACATGCTCCCAGGCCCCATCTCCTGCCAACTCCAACACTTGTTAAAACCTCCAGCTATCCCACAGTCAGCAGAAAACTAATCTGACAAAAACACATCCTTTTTGGATGACTTTGCTGGCTAAAATGGTTTAACAAAGGGCCTGACGTACTAAAGTAAGTGGAAGAGATAGACAAAAATGCACAGCTGGGCTGGAGGAACCGCAGCAGCCAGCACAAGGATCAGCCTAAGCTGCCCGGCTGCAGTCTGAAAGCATGCTCTGGAATTGGAATGAAAAGAAAGTCACAGCTGTCATAGATTTGCTTTATGACTGGGCTATTTTCAAGTTAATCACACACAACCACAAGTACTGTTTACATAGTTGGGGGGGTGAGGGTGATCCCAGATAAGAACAGTAGAAAACAGTATGTCAGAATAAGTAGGTATCAAAACCAAGATATCTTGTTCAACAGTTAACTTCCAAGAAATGACTGGGATAACTATTAAGGTATGTCTCAGAGAAGAGTTGGGTAAGAAACCCCAGAACCTATTGACTCACTGCCAGTCAAAACAGTCAGTCACATTCCTTCTCATTCCCGGCTTCCTCAATGCACTCACATTGCTCCCATTGCAGCAGGGTTCTGGCATACATCTGACCCCTCAGTGAGTTGATTTTACTCACTAAATTTGGCAAAAAGCTAACCTGACAGAAGAGCAAATAGTTCTCCCCTTGTTAAGCCAGCAGAATGAACTCAGAGGATCAGGAGTGCATCAAGCCAGTTCAAGGGGAGGGAAGCCTCGGGATTTTCTCCTTAACCAGTAGATGCCTATTATGTAGGCTCAAGTATCTTAGCTAACCAGTGTCTCACTTGCTGATCTGCAAGCTCCCCATAGCCCTTCTTTGCAGCCTGCTTCTGCACCATCAACTACCAAAGGACCGGGGACAGCTAACTTGACACTCAGGACAGGAACATCAATTTCAGGTCCTGATATGCTGAGCAACATTATCTCACTAATTTTTTTTTCTGTTCTGTCATCTGATTATGTCCCATTGTTTCTCGTATTTAAACTGTAAATTACTTCGGGGTCCCACTTTTTTAACTTGGGATCAGCAAAAATAATTACACAACATCCAAGTGAATTGTATTACATACTAATAACACTGAACCAAATACTCATCAGGTTTAAGGCTAGCAATACAAGAAAGTCAGTTGAAATACTTCTAAATTTAAACGTTTGCAAAAAACCACATACCTTCACTTTTGTCACCCTGGCTAAATTCAGCATGAGGAAACACTTTGTGTAAAACCTCAAGAAGGTTAGTGAAGGTACGTTCCAACAGTGGTCTGATCACAGGAGATAATGCATGTCCTGAAGATGTCACGGCACGTTGGGAAGCAGGCACAATATTCTGCATTGCATGATAAAAATCCTGCGCGCTGAGAACTACTGAAGAAACATCAAGCTGCAGTTTCTGACTGCTCACATAAATCTGGGGGTAGCGTCGTCTCAGGGCAATCAAGGCAGCCTCAGTGCAAAGTGCTTTTATGTCAGCTCCACAGTACCCTAGTGCACACAAAAACAAAAATACCTTCCATGAAATAGCATTGCTGCACTATGTATATTTCAAACAGGCCTAAAGCTAAAAAAAAACACCACAAAAAAACCCTACAAACAAACGAAAAAAAACACACCAAAAAAAAGATCAATAATACTTAATTGCCAATGTCCACAAAGCATCTGCCAAAAGGTATCAGGTCATAATCCAGTAACAGTCTTGTGTATCAAGAAATTATGTACAGGTATATTGAAATATAGTACGAAGTTAATTAAACCTTGAGGTTACAATGACCCACATTTTCACTATACAGTGCAATTGTTTAGTAGACATGGTGGCATCAGGTATACGGTTGGACTTGATGATCTTTGAGGTCTCTTCCAACCACGATTCTATGATTCTATATAGTGTATTTTCAGCCCACAGTTATAGGTCTATCATCACTTTCTTAATACTGTCTAAAGTACATGTCCAATTTTAACAGGCTAGCCTCTCTCCTCCTTTTTTACTTTAGTATCTCTACATGAATATATTTTTAATAATAAAGTAATTTTATTATACTGGATGAACATCATCTACTTTAAACTTTTACAGACTGAGAAAATGAGCAGTATAAAGAAAAACGTTTCATGAGTAGATTATGGAAGAGATTAAATCTCTTGTTAAAAAAGCATACTGTGGACTCTTGGAAAAACGTGAACTTCTATCAAGAGAAATGTTTCAGACTTTTTAGAGTTGCATAATTTTACTAACATAACTGAAAGAACAGAAAAACTATTAAAAAGCATTACAATTTTAATTTAGCCTAGCTTTGTAAATATCTACAGGTGGCTACCTATAATTGCTTAATCAACACTACTGAAAAACACAGATCTGATAATTATGAAACACTAAGAGACTTAATACCTCTGCGTCTTTTGCAGTACTAATGGTTTGCAGTTTTTCCCCAGTTAGAAGTTAGATTTCAAAATTTTCTATCTGTCTCAGCAAGAGACATGAATACGCCACTGTATTTTGTAGCACCAGAGCTCCATCTTTCAAAAAACGTAGAACATTATTCCAGTGGGAAAACTCTTTTAGATAATTATAGTCACTACAGGAAACCGTGTTGCACTGAGGTATTGCCACACAGAAGTTCATGGTTTTGCAATGAAGTGTTTAAAGAAGCTAATCAATCAATTCTTTAGTTAAATTATTCTCGATCAACTTTTTTTTAACCAGACTCCCTCCTCCCCGCCAGGTCTTACATCTTTTGCACTTTTTCTACTCTCTTTTTGTATTGGTCTTTTGGTAGCACCAAGTCCCAAAACTGAAGCCTGCCTTGTTTCTCTCTCTTTATCTTCTGGTGTTCTTTCAGCACTGCTGGCATACATACTTTTACGAGATCCATACAGCAACAAAGAACAAAGCTGATTCCACACACAGTGTTGAAAAATAAAAAAGGAAGCAATTATACAGAAGTTAGTCAATCTTCCATCCCCATCTTTCAGATATACAAATTGGGGGATAATAATAAAAGATACCAACTTCTCAGCTATAAAGATTACTTAAATCTGCCGAGACTTCAAATTCTACCAGAGTTTCTCATCTATACTGGAAAATAATTTTTAAAATGCAAAAAAAAAAAAAAAACAGATGGAAGATCACCATAAAGATCAGACTCCTTCTGCAACTTTTAAACTAAGCTTTCCAATTTTATAAAAAGGTTAGTAGTTATAATTGTGCAAACTTGACAAGCAAACATTATGACTGTTATCTAAAAAGTATGTAGCAATTCATATTCACAAGTTACCTTCAAATAAATACACATGACATTTGAAATATGTTCAAATCCACTATATTAATCAATAGACAACTAATTATTTTCAGCACTAAGGTTATTTTTTTTTAACTAACCCGGATCATGAAAACAAAACCATGCAGGCACACTCCATCAACCATGTGAACCCATTTAGACAGTAGCTACAGGTGCATCAGAGAAACCAAAACCAAGGTTTTTCTGCTCAATTCTGCCTTCTTCTTTCAGTATCACGTACTACGTTCCCATTTAAATTGGTCCACTTCTCATTTAACAAGGATACTGGTTTAAACAAAAAATTTTGGGGGGCATTAAACCAAAGCTTAAATCAAAGATGTGCTAGAGACATATAGCACCCTGAATGCCTGTCACCTTAAAAACTAGTTTAGTATCTTCGTGACAAAAGATTCAGCAGCTCAGGAGCTATATCCAATTTTTCTATTAATAAATGCTGTAATATCACTTTCTAACAGTCATTTTAATCACCGCTTGTACATCTCCAAAGAATTCAAAAATTAGGAAATAATAGCCTGTAACCTATTTTTAAAATTAAATTCTCAGGTGATCAGATACACAATTAGTCTCCGTTTCTACTTTTCATTTCTCAGGAGCAATTACATTTGAAGACTAATAATTGGTGTCTCTTTTTGAGGGACTCTCTTGTGCATACTGTACATCCATTTCAGTGACAGGAAAACTGCAAAAATCCTCTATCTTGTGAAACATTAGAGAGCTTTTTATTTCTAAAAAGTAAATGCACACTGATTAAGAGGAAGAAAAACATGAGTAAAGTATTGTTAAAATAAAATGTATCATGCCAACAGTAAATAACCTGAATTTATTTTTGCACAAATTGACACTATAATATAAACCCAAGGTTCAGTGCACTTGCTTCCATTTCTGAAGCATCTCACAAAGGATGTTCATTTTGGCAGGCAAAATGTACCGGTACACCTTAACTTAGCACAAAACAAGTATTCTTGTCAAGTAGCCCAATTTGTTCTAGCCAGGATCACCACACTGCTAAATGTTTCTCAAGTACAACTTTCAAAAAGCAGGGCAGCAAACAACTGGATTCCCATGTACATTTCCAAAGAATGCACCTTGATCACTGAAATTTTAAAGCCATACGCTTCCACCTCTACTATGCAGAAATCATGTTCTCTTTAAAAATTCTTCTGCCTAATATCCACCTCAAAAACCTAGAACAAACTGCTACGGAACTGGGTGAAATAGTGAACAACCTCGACCACTTCTTCCAATCTATCTTGTGCAACTCCCTATAACTCCTAAAATGGACTG